GTCTGTGGTTCAAATCTCACGCCGACCAGGGAGGACTTGTTTATATCTTTTTTGCTTATAGCGTGATCTTATTGCATTGGTTTCACACTTTTTGGTTGGATTGGTTTAGTTATTTGACGGGTTGGTTAGCGTGGTTATTTGGAGGGTGTTAATTCATTGGTTAGTTGATTATTTGGTGGGGTTGGTTGATTTTTACTAATTTATATTTGTTTTTTATATTTTTTATCAATGTCGAGGTTAGTTGCGTTGGTTAAGTTGGTTATTTGGTGGGATGGATACCGTTGGTTAGTCCTTATAAAATTCCTATATTTCATAAAGCGGTCAAGTGGGTCACATCAACGACGTCATACCTATTAACGGCATTTTAGTAAGCTACCGTTTAACGGCAGTTTAAGTAGAGCCTTTAAAAAAACGTTAAAAATATCAAAACAGGCCTGGTTTTAATAAATATTAGTAACATTTACAGAACTAAGGATATTAAAAAAAAAATAACTGTAATAACTAAGAGTACAAACGTTGATTGATTATTTCCTTCAATCAACGGTACAAACAAACAAAAGGCTTGTAAAAAATACTCTAATACTTTGTATTGCCTCCCCCGGCTGTTATAACTGTCTGTAGACGTCGGTTTATCTGATAATGAAGCTGCAAATATATTGTGTTATGGTTTCATTGGTTTCCCATTCTTCTTCAAGGACCAAGAAATCAAGAAAATATTCATAATTTCGACAGTCTTCAACAAGATCAATGACTTTTGCACAATCTTCGACACTAAGAACTATATTCAATCGTACACAGCAATAATCACCAATGAAAGCCACCTATTGTCAATATGAAGAATATCATCAAAAAGTAACGATAATTGAAAAAATTGCAAAATGTTTGTGACAAGTTCATTTTGCTCTTAAAAATTAACCAAGGTATATGTGGACATGAGTCACAAAATAAAATATTCATGTGATATGGTTCTGACCAAAAAATAATGTTTTATGAAAATTTGCTCACGAAATTATTTCACAGGGTGTTATAGGTAAGGTAAAAAAATTTGCTGACAAAATTATTGCACAAGGTGTTAAAGGTAAGGTAAAAATAACCCTGTATAGTAAGTCAAATACAAAAGTTTATAATAAACAGAGTTTACGAATAAAAGTTGATATACAGGGTGTTCCTTAATGACGTGCTAATATTTAAGAAGATGACGAAATTTTTTTTAAGGTTTTACGAAATTTTGCCTAGAAAAGGGGTACTATAAATAATAGCTACAACCAATACCACCTAGACAACAACCTCTTTGCGTAGAGCCTGCCGTGAATTCACTTCTTCTGAGGCGTCTTTTCTTTATTCTCTTTAGCGACCGTTCTACAAACTTGAAAATAATTTCCAGCAATTTTTAGTGGGACACCCTGTACAGTTTGCCAAAACGGTCAAGAAAATAGGACTAAAAATAAAAAGAAATAAACTAGACCAAAAAATTTTCTCTTGCGTTTATTTTGCATCTGGATGTACTTTATAATTTTATTTTTTTTTACAAATTTAATGTTAAAAAAATCCAAAATTTGTTCTTATAGTAGAGTACTCTGAGTACTTCAACTCTTTTTCTATTTCCACCGGTACTGAATACGAATAAAGACCATAAATCGGCAAACGGTTTGCGTCGTCGTCATTTTCGCGCTAAAAAGAAAACTGCAACGAATGTTTTCATCGTGGCGAGTGGTCTCCGGAGTACTCTCTCTTCGGTACCAACGAGTGGAGACAACGAAATATGGTCGTGGAGCCCGGCGGACGCGGCATAAATATTTCCATTAAAGGTGAGGTTAAGCAGCGGGCGGCCCCCGGTCGCCCGCAGCGAGAATTACTGCCCGAATGAATAACTATATACTTTATTACATACTAATAACATAGAGGCATTAGCGTGCGACCGTGGGGCGGCCATTAATCAGGCGGGGGGCGGCGGCAGATGAGCACGCCGTCGCTGCTACCTTTCACTGTACCACCGATCGGTACTGTACTGCAAATTACCTCTAATAAGTTATAGAATTTGTAAAATATAATTATTGAAATCAACATTCGCACAAAGAAAAGTAATAATAATGCTTCTTTAGTGTATTAAGCCACCAAAGAAGCATTTGGGCTCTTTTAATATCCTATTTAAAGGGACCGAATACAAAGCGCATGCGTATGATGAATCGCTACAAACAAAAATGTGCCACAGATTAAGTATTATTTTAATTGGGAATACATTTTTTGCAAAAGGCAACAATGCATTCGAGAAAAAAAAACGAAGTCTGACAACGCCATAGCCCTATTAAAGGTCTGAGATCACGGCGGCGTTTATCAGCAAAATGAAATGTTACATCTGTAAGCGTCACATCTGAAAGTTAATCTGTTTTAAAGTTTCATTCAGAACCTCACAATTAGTGTAATAAATTAGTGGTTTTAATTACACTTTATACATAGATAAATGAAACAATATATATATTTGGCGCTATTCTTGCAACGGTCGCGACCCAAAGCTTTTGATAATTTCGGATCGGTTCGGCTTTTTCCGGAATTATGTCGCCAAATATTATTTATTCAAATTTATTATTATTTTCTTTTAATTTTATAAATAAAATACAGTGTGTTGCATAGAAAAAACTTTATTTTATATAAGAACATGTATGTGAAATACATATGAAACATGTTATGCCACGATCCACGATAGTTTTTGCAGTTCACAGTTTATAACACAGTTTTTTAGTTTTTAATGCCACTTTTTCACAATTATCACGAGTTTGAGTAAGTAAAATTTAAATTAAACTCACAAGATAGCAATAATTACTTTGAAAATGAACGCTTTAAACACTTTTCGGTATTTTTCCAATGAGGGCGGTTTAAATCACGTTTAAATTTTGAAAGATTTTATAATTTTTGAAGACTCTGACTTTGACTATTTTTGTTATTGTTTTCGGTTGTTCTTAGCAACCTCCATAGCAGCGCCAGATCGCGTACAACGGTCGGGACCCAAAACCAGTGGCGGATACAGAGGGGGGGCCCATGGGGCCCGGCCCCCCCCCCCTAAAATCTGTAAGTTATGTTAAATATTAGGCTTTTATGTTAAAAATGGCGTCCTAAAAGCATATTCTATATTACTTTTTATTTTGGCCCCCCCCCTAAAATAAATTCCTGTACCCGCCCCTGCCCAAAACAATTATATATTTTAGAGACGGGCTTTCCAATCTAAATTTATTTCTTTTATCTATGATTTTATACTTTCTAGTTTACGATCATTCACAAATTTAAAAAACACAATTAAAATTAATAGGGTATCTCAGCAACAGCTTGTCAGTTGTATCCAGAGAGAAAGCCTAATATTTAGCTTATAAAACCAGAGTATAATCAACTTATGATTTCTAACCACAATTTCCCTTGACGGGAGATAATCAAAGGCCAAAATGACATTTTACGCAAATTTTAAAGTTTAATTAGTGGAAAAGTTAAAAGTTTGATAACTTTTTCTACTAATTGAAAATGTCTACCACTAATTTTGACATTCTAAATGCTTACATTGAAATTAAAGGAATAAACTTCTACGCTAATTAAAACTACTAATTTATTCCACTAATTGCGAGATTCTGCATGAAGCAGTCTCGATCTTAGAACTACGTTGTGTCAGAGATTTATACAAAATTCAAACAGCTGTTAAATTTTAACACAAACACGGGTCGTCTCAAACTCGAAGCGAAAGTGTCTCGCACTTGGAGAGAATCTCCCTTCTCTCTACTTTCTACGTAAATAATAGTAGGTCCAGAGACTAGTAGGTCCACGAATGGGTCGTCTGGAGGTCGACGCGGAGTCGAAATAATTGATACTATCTGATACTATTATACTATTGGGGTATACGGTATAACTTAAAGCTTACTCTACACAATTGTCAACCTCACCTTCTCGCGGTATACCCTGTTTTAACAGACGAGGCTCTGACGACCGTGTCGGGGCGGTATAACCCTAATATGCCGTGGTACCGTCCAACAGAGCCACGTAGTGAGTCGCAGGAAATGGCATCTCAAGCAGCTTTGTCAAGAGGACCGAAAGGCCAGTCGTCGCGGCTAGTCTGTGCCATTGGAGTCAACTTTCTGTCCTCTGCCGCAACCAAGCGGCGGTGTAACCGTCTTGGTTTTCTAATTATATTACACAGCCGAACATCTCCAATCAAACTCAAGATGAATCCTCTGCGCGAGACAAAATATTCCGGAGGTAAAATACCTTCCCGATCGGATCTCCGGGGGAAGGTGCTTACGCGGGAGAATTATCAATTAGGAACTACAAAGAGACGCAAACTGTTTACCTTTGCAGCGTGGAACGTTAGGAGTCTTTGTGACTCCCGCCAATCGAAACATCCTGAAAGAAGAACTGTCATTGTCTCCAAAGAGCTGTATCGACTCAATGTGGATATTGCGGCCATTTCGGAAACAAGACTGCCTGGGGAAGGATGTCTTGTTGAGAACGAATATACATTCTATTGGAAAGGGTACCCAGAAGATCAGAATAAAAAACTGCACGGAGTTGGCTTTGCAATAAAAAATAATTTAGTTACCAAATTGCAACAGGCACCGCAAGCAATCTCTGAGAGGCTTATGAGTGAGTCTACGATATCCAATAGGGCACAATAAATTTGTTACGGTAACACCTGGACAAGATCGATTGGTCCTGATGGGCTATTTTAACGCCCGAGTAGGCCGTGAACATAACATCTGGGAGAAAGTAATCGGGAAACATGGAATAGGCAATATAAACGCTAATGGAGAGCTTTTACTAACCAAGTGTTCCGAGCATGGCCTTACGATAACAAACACCTTATTTATGCACAATGACAAATTTAAAGGCAACATCCAAGATCTAAGCACTGACATCAACTTGACCACATCATCGTGAGGCAAAGAGACCTTAAAGAAGTCCTCGATACTAAGGCCCGGGTGGACGTAGAGTGCTGGACAGACCACAGAATACTTATGTCGAAAATGGCGATAACTGTCCGACCAAAATACTCATGCATAAAAAAGCCCTCTAAAAGAAAAGTTATAAACACTGCCAAATTGGCAGATCCAAACATAAGATCAGAGCTAGGCCTTAGGATCTCCGAAACTCTTACAAGGGCTACAGACACAGAAAGCGATGACCCTGAACATATTTGGATAAACATTCGGGACGCCATACAATCTGAATGTGAAAAGAGTCTAGGAGAAACAGTAAGATGCAATAAGGACTGGTTCAGGGATAAAGATGAGGAAATAGAATCCGCCCTTCAGCTCAAAAGAAAAGCACACGCCGGCCTCGTGAATAACCCAGAGTGCAGACAAGCCCAGAAGCATTTTGCAACTGCTAAACACGAAGCTCAAAAAACAATCAGGGCAGCCAAAAATTCTTGGTGGAAAAGTAAAGTTAATGAAATTCAGGCTTACGCTGACAACAATGATAGTAGACGTTTTTTCCAAGCTCTGAGGGAAGTATACGGCCCCGTAAATAGCTTTTCTTTAATAAGGGACGTAAACGGCCAACTACTGAAAGATGACACTGAAATTCGTCACAGGTGGAAGGAACATTTTTGGCTAGTCCTGAATCAAAACTCAAATATTGACCAGGAAATTTATTACTTATTGCCTCAATACGACGCTGCAAACTTCTTATCCGTCCCACTCACACGAAAAGAAATCGCTGATGCAATCGCATCTTTAAAAAACAACAAAGCAACCGGAAAGGACTCAATACCTGCTGAAATTTACAAGGCGCTGACACCGGAATTAATGCCCCATCTTGAAAATCTATTTACCGTTATCTGGGAGCGAGAATCAGTACCCCAGGATTTTAGGGACTCAATAATCATTAGCCTCTATAAAAATAAGGGAGATAAAACCGAATGCGGAAATTACAGAGGAATCTCTCTATTGGCTGTTGCAGGAAAAATCTTAGAAAAAATAATAATAAATAGAATGATGCCCTATGTAGACAAACTGATACCTGACTTTCAGAGTGGCTTTCGACCGAGAAGATCTACTGTAAATATGGTCTTCTGCCTTCGTCAGATTCAAGAGAAAACTATCGAACAACAGCAAAACGTACATTTTGCTTTTATCGACATAACTAAGGCATTGGATACGGTCAATAGGGATGCACTCTGATCAATTATGTCAAAATTTGGCATACCGCAAAAGTTGGTTAACCTTTGTAAAAATCTGCATATGAACAACAGAGCCGAGGTATCATTCAATAGTAACCTAACAGACCAATTTGAAACAATCAGCGGTGTAAGAGAGGGATGTGTCCTGGCACCTGTACTTTTCAATATCTTTATAACAGCCCTAATGATGATAGTAGACAGAAGGTTACAGGAAAGAGGCCTGGCTGTCCGATATCGAACAGATGGAGGACTATTCAATTTATCACGTCTAAAGGCGAAAACCAAAACCCGAGTCAGGTATGTCACAGAATTAATGTATGCAGACGATTGTGCACTAATAGCTAATGACCCTGAAACTCTACAACAAATACTGGACATGTATATATGGGCGTATGAGGCAATGGGCCTAAAAATAAACATTAAGAAAACCAAAATAATATCAACACTTTCTGGCAAGCTACCGCAAACCGAGTTGCTCGTGTCGGGCAAAAAGCTTGAGGAGGTTGATTGCTTTTGCTATTTGGGTAGTATCATAGACTTAGAATAAAATATAGACTACACTATTTACATTTAAGCGCGGTCCAATATTAATTTTTTAAACATGTTTACTCCTGGGTGCAGCTGACCTCGGCCGTCTGAGTCTTTCGCCTCCAGCCTATGTTGTCACGTCTAAAATATTATTAATATTTTTTTTGTTGTTATACACATATATTGAGATATTAAAACTGTATTTTAATAAAGTAGTGTTTAATAGTAGAAAGATGTATTAAATAGTCATGTGGCCACGGCACTGTTTGGAGCTATGGTAACAATTTCGTCTGGGGTGTTATAATATGTCCTTGTATTCTTTAGTCATTGGACATAACTCTTGAGGTTATGTCTAAATTCTTCCCTACTTTAGGTCTCTTTAGTTTTTTTTATTAGTTATTTTAAATAATAGATTACCTTTATTGTACTTACGTTAATCAAATTTGGAAAGAATATAAATTTGTTATAAGCTTCTTGTTCTATTAGCTCTTGTTATAAGTATTTATTATAATACTTTTACGTTTAACACTACAAGCAAAAATAAATTTATTTTATTCTTTTAAGCAGCAATTCTCCTCTAATAAGGAAATATTCATTAAAAAGGAAAAAATCTTAATACATTCATTAATTCTCAATAGTGAAAGATTGTATTATCTCTGAATTCTTAGTAATTGTATACATCCTTCAGAACATAAAACTGTTTAATTATTTATAGGAAATTTGTAATAACACATACATATATCATTTATATATACATATATTCTAAATAATTTATAACTGTAATAAAAGCTTCAAAAGGAGCAATTCTAAATCATCATCGACAAAATAACCGTCCGTCGTGTGTCTATATATCGACGGCAATGTTTACGACAATATATGTTTTACGAGCAGTTAACTGCCAAAAGGGGTCACAACAACCATATTCAATAAAATTCAGACAAACAAACACGCCGTTCATTATCTAATTAGGTTTTAAAACATCTTTTTACAAAAGCAATAAGTGGTTTCTTTTTTACACTGCAACGATCTTTAAAATGTAACGATATATTTAATAAGTAAGTTTTTAAAAAATGTCTATACGTGTTTGGCGGATTCATCTCTTCAAAAAAGTTTTAAGCAGATGTATAGTTATAATATAGGAAATTCAAATAATTCATTTTCTGACAGATGGAAATAAATTGTCTGACTGTTTGACACTTAATGTCAAAGGAAGCTAGATAAAATCAAGAAAAATATACGTTTTCAAACTAAATCTTAAATAACTTAAAAACGATTTATTTTAGGTATAGGAATATGTCTAGTTAAAACGTAACGAATTGGAAAACCCTTTCACTAGTGAATTAAAAAAAGTGGGTTTCCATTTGAAAAAAAAATATTTATGATAATTTTTTAATCGCTCAATTCCATGACAGCTACCGCCATTATTATATGACATTTGAACAATTTAATTTTTGAAATAGATAGCCACATGTCTTTTCTTTATGTCACAGGGGCTGTGATAATCACTAAATTTGACTTTTAAGCTGTACAAATTTTTTTGACAGATAGTTTTTTTCGTCCAAAAATTTTAAATAATTTTTGCTTAAAAATGCTTCCAGGGAAATACCGCGACAAAATATTGCCATTTTGTAAGTCCTCCAAGATCCGAGGAGCCCCTGGAGGGGCCCCTTCGCTGTCTCAGACCCGTGGCCCCCGTTATACTAAATACTTCTTTCACTGCTCATCAGCAATGAAGATAGAATACAAGTTATGCTATGCATTGGTTGTAATTTAAAATGTTTATTCAGTAAAAATATATATTGAAACTATTGAAAAATAACTTAAATATTAAAATAAATAAATTCAGTCTGAAAATAATATAAAAAATAATAATTATTCGATATTTTAAACAAAGAAAATTACCCCTTGATTTAATTTCCTAAATAAAAAATGACATTGACAATTACTGGGGCCTGATAATTGATAATTAAGTAAATATCTGCTTCCATTTATACTGTTTATAGTTGGCGTATACGTGTGGTTTGCATACTCCACCTACAAACTGCTTTATAACTACTGAACACATATTGGCCTTGTTTGCCAGTTGAATAAAAAATTACTTATTAAGATTCGGAGGCCCCCTAAAAGACGGGGCCTGGGGAGGGCCGCCCCTACCGCCCCCCCCCCCCTTAGTCCGCCACTGGTAAGAGATAGCATCACTACTTATTAAGAAGAGTTTGATTTCGACCGCTAGAAAGTATCAAAAGTCTCTCACACCTAACAAAAAATATGTTTTTAGTTATTATTACCGAGTCTCGAAAGTATCGAAAGCACCGGGAATTAATAATTTCAAGTCCCGATTCGTTGATGCCTTAAAAGAATTGGGAATTCCCGGTTACCGGGATTTCCCGGTCCTGAACCCTAATGACAATATCACCATTTTAATATTATGTCAATCCGATCGACATGAATGGTAACGGGACTGCGTAAAATACTTAGTCGGGCACTTCTAATTTCTGCCGTACCGAGCGCTGCCCTCGGAATTTTTAAAATCAACTGAAATGAACCAAGCCTATAGGTAAGTATAAGAAATAATTATAACATCGTTTCACATTGCCTACCAGGGATTTTATTACAAAATCCGGTGATCAGCCTGTCCGCAAACCCGCCTCTTCTATGCCATATCTCCTGTTAATTTATGACGGGTCCTCTATCGGTAGGGATCGAATATTTTTCGGGTATTATATTAATGCCGGGCGCGCGATTTATTAGCTGTTACTCCCATAAAAATGCAAATGAGATGCGCATCGTCTCCGCCAGTTCTCGTATTTGGTGTGCACGTCGATATCGTGCTGATTTGACACGAGTTAAAAAGGCATTAAATAAGTTAGCAGGGGCTTAAGGTATAAACATGCCCTCGGAGGAGAAGGTCCGAGCCGTGTGGTTGGGTTGATGGATGGTTATTAGCGCTCAGAACGACCACACACACAAAACAAAACGCTCAGCCGTGGCTCTTATTATACATAAATAATGAATAGTTTGAAATTCAATTTCTTCACGTGTTTGTTAGTAAACCATTTTTTTTATTTGAAATAAAAGATAGGTACTCTAAGACTAATCATCATCATCATTTTCAGCTTATTCAACCATTTCCAATTATAGTGTAGTCTCGCTCACATACTCTCTTTGTAGTTGGGCCCATTGTTCGCTATGCGCAGTGGCGGACACAGAGGGGGGAGGGCATGGGGCCCGGGCCCCCCATAAAACCTGTAAATTGTGTTAAATATTAGGCTTTTGGGTTAAAAATGGCGCCTTAAAAAGCATATTCCACATTACTTTTTATTTTGGACCCCCCCTAAAATAAATTTCTGTATCCGCCCCTGGCTATGCGGGCACAAGTTATCCCTCCTAATTTCCTAATATGATGGTCCCATCTCAGATCTTCGGTGTTCTTCTATAGGTCTCTTAATTTCTTGTGGATACCATGCTGTAATTTTTGTGGTTCATCTGTTGTCCGTTCTTCTTACCAGGTGTCCTGTCCATTGTCATTTGAGGGATTTGACTTTAGTAGTAAAATAATAATCAGTAAAACTCTAAAACTAATACGAGACGAAAAATAAAACAATGCCTGTTCCAAACAAATAAACAGCAATAAACATCAAAACAAATAAACATTATCTGCAAGACCAAGACCAATACCAAGACTATCGTTAGGTCTTCATAACCAAGGCTTATACCAACAAATGGAAGACATACTCAAGCCGAAGACTAAAATCCTAACTCACTATGCGCTGATTCCTCGATGGGATTCACAGCCACCTAGATTTTATCAAATAATAAAGATCTACTGATGATGCTAAATCATAAAAAGGAAAATCTTTATCATTAGGCAATCTTAATATATTCTATATTGAGGAGATATGAATTCTCCATTGAATATCGGAATAATATAGAATATTTCTATTTAAAATAAAAGAGTAACTTGCTTTTGAAAGCGACCAATATTAATTTGTCTCACTCTGTATACCATTTTGGGTCAAATTTTAATTTGGTGTAACATAGAATGGATATTTTAACTAAACATCAGACTATATAGGGTAAATTAGAATTTAGTAATAGCTGTTTTTTAAATTTATTCTTCATTTTCACAAAATATGAAAAATGTCAAAAGCCTTAGATTTCAGTCATATACCTTTTTAATAAAACTCAACTTTGTTTTTTTTTTCCTAGAATCCGAAAATCTATTAATATATAGGATGTTCGTGTTTGCGATTTCTGTTATTTGAGTCCTGTTGTTATATGAGGCTTGTCTTTTATATTTTGCATATAAAGGTAGAAAAAAAAACAGTATAACATTTAAACACTATTGTATTTCGAAATATTCTACACGAAGAGAAATGCATTTTTGTATCCGTTGGAACCAATTCTGAAACCAGCTATTCCACTCGCTTGCTGGTACCTTCAAAATTGCGTTTCTGAAGGCGCTGACAGTAACCTCTGGAAACTGAAACCTTTTGACCACGCAGTTCATTCTTAATTTTAGAAAAAGTAAAAAGTCGTTAGGACTTAGGTTGGGACTGTATGGAGGATGGTCCAACGATTCGAAGTATGTGATAACTTGCTTTATCTTAGTGGAATATCATTCGTCATTGACGTTTGGTTTTTCGAAAATTAGCAATTCGGTACTTTCGGCAAATAAATCTGTACCAATCAGCAGTAACATTTTTTTTATTTTGCAGAGTACTTATTGCTACGTGGCCCGCTTTTGGAACAAATGTCGCCACCATCTTTGTAGGAACACTTCAAAAACTGATAACTTTTATTGGTTTTGGTTTATCTCGGAACACCCAAACAGCCGATTGACGTTTATTTTTGGATTCATAGCAGTAAATCCAGGATTCACCACCACTGATAATACTGTATATTTTTTTGAGTTTCCTGCGTTAAACCGATGTAGAGTTTTTTGACACCATCGATTCTAATTGCTTTCTGTTCTTTCATCAACAGATGCGGTATCCAACGAAACAATTTTTTAATTAGGTTTTTTGAAATGCCCAATGATTCAATTTCACGATATCTGATATATTATGTCGATCTTCTTGGATCAACTTACATATCGCATCGACGTTTTCCTGGGTGACTACCGTTGTTGGTGGACCTGTTCTTGGATCGTCGTTAAGACTAATCCGTCCACGTTATTAAATTCTCCATACCAACGAGAAATTGTCGACTATAGTAGTGCTTCATTGCCGAAAACAGAAACCAACTCGGCAAAGCATTTTCTTCGAAAATTGTAAAAAATTGCGCGAAAATTTTCTTGGAATAATTCCATTTTCCCACTGACTTGTCAAATTCAAAAATTGAGTTAAGGTACAGCTTTAAACAAAGCGGTCTAAAACTTTGGTATTCAGTTAACTAAAAATGACAGTAAATTTTGACATTTGATATATGTTGGCAGGCGCCTACTATGTTTCTATACGCAAAATATAAAAGGCAACCCTAGTAAACTACCGTTTTCCTTGGAGCCTCCGCGTCGTATGAGAGGCGCCACCCTGTATATATTTTACTTGATAAACAGCTTAAAAAAGGTAATTTATATACATCACAAAACAAAATAACAATCTAAGATGTCAATATTCCATAGGTATATTGATAAATGAGGTCTAAATTATAAGAAAATGCATTTTCTACGAAAACTTGAAGGGATAGGTAAAGAATGGTATAATACAATTTGATATACAATCAAATTGTGCATCTGATTCTTCTAAATAAGGTGTTCCATTTAAATTAAACAAGTTATTGCCGTTTACAGCTAGAAATTATTTTAAATAAATTTTTAGACACTCTGTGTGAGATAGTATTATTTTTATTATTGCAACATAAAAACTGATCAATAAACAAACTTCGGTAAATATTTAGTATTAAAAACTTTGATACCCTTGGAGAAATGAAGGTTTAAAATTTTTACTGCAGTTTCACAAAATTGAAAATATTTCAAAAACGGTAAGGTTAGAATTAGAGAATTAGAATGAGTGGGAGGGGAGTTAATCACTTCGACCTTACAGATCCATTGTGTCCCCCTTTCTTGAATCATAACTCATCATACAGTCCCAGGGCTTTGACAAAAGCCAGTATCTGGGACGGTTTTATAGAGGGTAGTTCTCCATCTCCAATATCAGTCGTACCAAAATTCATGGCACGAATGGTTGTCGTCTCGGCGCACTCAGTGTTGAGGTGTACTGGTGTTTCACCATCTTCCCCAGAAGAATCTGCATTCGCCGTTTCTTCTTAGTTTCAATCTACTGAGGTGTTCATTGAGGAGACAGTGTCCTGTTAAAAACCCGTGACAATCCGAAGATTGTTCTTACTCAGACCCAGGAAGATCTGTGATTTTTCTTGATCATAAGCCCTCAGAAACTTCTTCGAGTGTCCTAGACCATTGCAAGATTTCCATTCCAGGTTGCAGATGGAATCTTCCAAGTTCTTGAGTTCCGCCTTGAGTTGGTTACCACTTGCCTTCTATCCCTTGTTGAGCAGGCACCCAGTGTAGGAGGACTTTGTTTTCTTTGCCTAATTTATTCAGCTTCTCTATGCATTCTTTGACCAATTTCGAATTGATTGATACTGAGTTGATCGCCTTTAATGCTGCTTGACTATCAGATAATAAAACGGTAAGGTGTAAGTATGATAAACCTAATCAAATTTACCTTTATTTTAATCGTAGAAACTAAAAATGTAATAATATACAGGGTGTTCCATTTTAAAAAATACAACTTTGATATTTTTTTATTCATTTGGGACACTCTGTATCTTGTAAAATTGTTTTTAAATGGTAGCTCTAATAGTCCTTCAACGAACCCGAAACTTGCAATTTGTAAAAATCTCATCATTTAGCTATGCTTTTTCTAATCGTTTTTACTCCGTGTCGTATGTGGTGAACAACCCTGTATAAAATTCAAAATTAAAAATACTGTGTTAATTAAATTTATAATTCTTTAAATCTCCCATTTACGCACACAAACAAATCGAAAAAAAAACGGTAACTTGTTGAAGTACCACCTCTTAGCGAGTGCGTACAATCTCGAAACTCAGCGCATTATTCATCCCGACGATGCTAATTATGGCGTGCCGTAGTATCCGAGTACTAGCGCACGCGAAAAAAATAAATTCCCATCCGATTAACGCTTAAAAAAACGATCTTTTTAACAGCTCCTCTGTGGCATTATCCCCCATCGCGTCACTCGACACCGGTACTTAAGTTAACGCCTCGACCGCAACTGAGATTTCGACCAATCGGCGATGCGGGCTCCTCCCAGATTCGAGCGTACCCAGCATCCTCCTCTGGACCACCTATTAGGGATCGATTAGTCGCCAATTAGTACCTTTCGGTGCGAGAACGGAGGTACTACCGGGATATCTTTGAGCGCGTGTGAGGGGCACCTCGGAGTGGTTTTCTTTTTGGAACGTGTGCTTGGATGTGAACTATAGAGAATGTTAGGTGTTTGATTAACTAGTTGTTGTTTGTAAATAGAGTGTACAGAAAGGTAAGAGCCTTCAAAGTATCAGAATTTAATTTTTGTAGTACCTGTAATATGTTCCATATCATTATATATTAGAGATGGGTAGATCCGGTATTTTAAATGAGTCTTAAAGCTTTATGGACCTACATTCATGTTCCAGTTCTGCCGATCTATATCATTCTAACCTTTAATTTTAAATTAACTAAATTTTGTTTTGCACGGAGCAATCCGCGTTCAAAAGTTTTGTAGTCCGTGAAGGAAATCTGATGTTTGAGTTTTGCCAAATCCTTATCACCTGAGCTTATAGCTGTTCTATTTATTTGGTAGAGGTACTTTAAGATTCAAATGTATGGCTACGAGGCAAAGAATTTCGTAATACTTTAACTCTAACTAATAAAAGATAGTCGAGACACAATTGAAGGGGTGGCTGCAATAACAAGGCAGCTCAACTTTTTTTCGAAAATGAGATTTTTAATGAATTACCATTTAAAAAAATTTGCCGATCGTTTCCTGCAACAATCAGTTTTCTCAATATAACAGCACATAAATGGCGACGTTAGTTGGAGCTGCCTTGCTCTGGGTTTGCAGCAAGAACCGAGCAGCTCTTTTTCGATTTCCCACAAATTTATTAAAATGGAGCTGCCTGGTTATTGCAACCACCCCTTCAATTACAGCCTTCCATCAAAATTGCTCCAGAAGTATTGCTTCACGCTAGAAGCAAGAGGATCGGCATTTAACAGAAAATATATTTAAGAAATAAGATGGCATCTTTTTTTACAAAAGAAATCTAAAATTACAATTTATGTAAACGTAGTGCTATTATTAACATATTCCATAATTTCTTGATTTCCTAATAAAGTAACAATAGACACAAATTTCAAATAATACAAAATTATTTCGAATACAGTTACGGTTGCGCGAAAGTAAACTAAAAAACAGCAAATGCAATTCCCTCTTTATTCCAGTACTGTCCATCTCTCCAATACTGATTTATTTCGCTGCATCCGCGGATAGGGGTCGATATTCAGTAGGATCTACATCCATCAGTACCGGCACCGGAGAGAGGTCCGTGGATTCGTATCCATCTGGATCTCTATTCATCTCTATAATTTGTTATTCATCATCTACTTGCCTAATAACAAATTTTGAGACGCTGGGAGAATTATAGTATCTAACAAATCAGGCGTCTAAATGCAAAACCCGACAAGTCACACATTTTTGAAAATTGAATTCTATATACCATTTTATTCGTTATCCAAAGAGCTATGAAATATCATCATATTTTCTTGCAAATATCGACATTATCTATAAGATATTTAGTATGGAAAGTAAGCATGCAGAACGCCAAAATTAATCGTAGTTTTTTTGAATTAGTAGAAAAAGTTAACGAATTTTTGACTTTTCCACTAATTATACTGCAAAATTTACGAGGAATCCAAATCATCCATCATGAGAAATTGTGGTTAGAAATCAAAAGTTTATTGTTTTATAAGCTAAATATTAGGCTCTCCCTATGGATACAACTGACTACCGCAAGCTGTTGCTAGGATATTATATTAATTTTAGTTGTGTTTTTTAAACATAGTGAATGATCGTTAACTGAAAAGTATAAAATGTAATTTAAGCAACTAATTTATTCCACGTGTGGAATAAAAGTTTGTTTCCTTGTTTGTGTGTGTTTTGCGATTCCAATTAGTGTAATAAATTAGTGACTTCAATTAACGTAGAAATTTGTTCCTTTAATTTCAATGTAAGCACTCAGAACGTCAAAATTAGTGGTGGTCATTTTCAATTAGTGGAAAAAGTTATCAAAATTTTAACTTTTCCACTAATTATACTTCAAAATTTGCGCGGAATGTCATTTTTATTTAAAATTGCTACAGGCGAGGCACAAAAAGTATAATTAATTAATAGTGTAATTTGGATTTTTCATTCCAGATCGAAAGCAATGGAGACCAGAACTGTCCAAAACATGATAGTTTCAGAAAAGAAACAAGAGAAACTTAAGTTTGGAATTGACAGGCTTCTTTCGGAGGATAAAGAAAGACATTCACCAGAGGCCAACAACCATGTTCAAAAGACACCATCAGTGACAAAACCTATGCCCCACATAGCGGTCCCATGTTCCGATTGTGTAACATCTATATTTCGATGTTGCAGGTAATTGTTTTTCTTTTATCTAAACTTTAAAGGCTTCGATTATAGTTAAATCTTCATATATACATATATATATAGTTCATATCTTTGAATAAGAAGACGAAGGAAGGAGCATAATGCTATCCATGTATTCATGCATGGTGGGCGGAAAAAGCACCATAAAAGCACTCTAGGGTGGGGATCCTTGACAGTTCTGTTTGACGATTCATTTGACACATTAGAATTTGATTTGAAATTTTGTGGATTTGTCAGTCTTTACGGAGCTTATTTTATGTTATTTATTACTTATTCTACTACTGATAGTTGTATAAAGGTAGTAAATCTAGATGGAAATTGTGGCAGAACTTAAATTAACAGTGACACTATCGCGATTTATCGAAAAAGACTCTAAAATAATTGGTTGTGTAGCGTGCGGTAGATCTCGGCAAAAATTGAGTGAAATAATGGAACAACTTTTGGCTAGTAAGTGACTATATAATATACATACGTGTAGTAAACCGATCATTTATGAAATTCACTTAAATTAACTAAATTATATATTTTTCTTGCATTTTAGCTTTTATTTATTACTTGTCAAAGATTAGATGTCAAAGAATTTAGATACGTTAATTTGACTTAGCTGCTTCAGTAGCGTATCGGATGTTTGTGTTAATAAATACTTATTATAACTTATCTATTTTTATTAGAATTATATATTTTTATAACAATTTTAATAACTACCAACATTTATTCACAACGTAAAATAAAACAACAAATTATTGAGTCTACCCCATGTCTACCCTACATCATAATTTTACATTTTTTAAATAAAATTAGAACGACACTGATAAACCGGAATTTAAGTCGGCCATATTTGAGGCCCATCGCGGTATACCTAAGATTTTTAATATGCTCCTTCCTTAGTCTTCTTATTCAAAGGTTCATATTAAAGCCTTAACCTTAGACATACAGTGTCACTAATATACAGGGTGCTACAAATTCGAGGTACGAGCATTGGTATCTCGGTAACCGTAATAGATACGAACATGGTTAAATTGGGGCAAAGTTGCGCTTTGGGATGTTCACCAAGATGCCATCAAAAAAGTTTTAAAAATTTCAAGGATTGCTGAGTTTTTTGGAAAAAACGGATTTTTTTGAAAATCATTTTTATTTTTTCCTGGCGTTACTTTTTAGGAAATCAAAAAACTAATTGCACATTCTCATTGCCACTTTATTATCTGACAGTACTTTTAGATTTTCAAATTAGCTGATAGTTTTTGAGATACAGTTGCCAACTTAATTTTTTTTAAATACGAACCTGCATTTTTTATTTCGGATTTTGAAAGAACTCGGTCTCCTGAGTACAATGATATGCCACGTTTAATATTTTTGTTTGTTCCGGGCATCTGAACATAATTTATTTAAACTAATTTGAAGTCCGGCTCTGTTTTTTTTAAGATTTAAACTATTCATGGTTACAATATTGATAAGCTTTCAAACTTAACAATGACGTGGGGTAGAACATTGAATACGGAAAATCAAATGCAATAACTAAACGGGCATTACTTGGCGTCATTTACAATAAAGAGTACAAAATGCATTCGGAACTATAACAAGAAGTTATGTTCAAAGAGCTATAAATAAGATTGAACAAAAATAAATGTGTGCATTAGAGGGAGGGTGGTAACCCTTTCGAACATGTAGAGCATTAGAAACTAGTTTATAGAAGTTGATTTATTTATAATAACTACGATTAATATTATGAATATTTATAGATCGTACACTGAGATTCCAAATTCACAATAAAAAAAAAGTTAAAAATAATATCTTTAAATTGCTGACCTGGATATTATTTATTTGAATCTTTGAATTGGCTCAATTTTCTTTATTCAACGTTAATTAGCGCTGATCAATATTGTTGCCATGAATATAATCACATTATATAATTTTAAAAAACCAGAGTCGTACTTGAAATTATTTTAAATAATATTTAAATAGTTTTGTTGTTGTTAAGGTACTCGAAACAAAAAAATAAGTATCAAGTGTGGCAATATCATTATACTCAGAAGACCAAGTTCTTTCAAAACCTGAAATAAAAAATGCAGGTCCGTATTTAAAAAAAATAAGTTGGCCTCTGTATCTCACAAATGATCAGCTAATTTGAAAATCTAATAGTACTATCAGATAGCCCTAATAAAGTGGCTATGAGAGTATGTAATTAGTTTTTTGATTTTTTAAAAAGTAACGTCAGGAAAAAATAAAATTAATTTACCAAAAAATCCGTTTTTTCCAAAAAACTCAGCAGTCCTTGAAATTGTTAAAACTTTTTTGATGGCATCTTGGTAAACATCTCAAGGTGGCAACTTTGTCCCAATTTAACCATCTTCGTATCTATTATGGTTTCCGAGATACCAATGCTCGTACCTCAAATTTGTAGCACCCTGTATATGGGAACAGTTCCATAAGATATTAAGTAAAATATACAAGGTACCGCAAAAAGTTAAATACAAAAGTTATAAGGTTTTTAAATGTCGAGTAGCTAGTAGTAAATTTAAGTATACAAGGTCGGTCATAAGTTGTGGCACATCAAACTTTTTTTAATGCAACCCCCTGTATATTATTGCATATTTCAATTCTTCCTTCATTTTTAAGCAATAATCGTAATACACACAATGTATCTAAATTCAACCATTTCCGAATTATAAAGTTTTCATTATGAAATATGTTAAACGAAATTTTTGTAATTTTCATACTTAATATACAGTCTTAAATAAGTGTAAATATTTTCAGGGGTGTTATATTTCGACCCCAGGAACACGTCTATGAGTTTTTTTTCGCTAAAAAAAGATGTTGAAAATCGTGCATTTTTTTAAAATTTCCCTGTATATTTTTCGAAAACTTTTTAGAACTGCATGTTCACCGCAAATTTTCCCACGGTATAATTTCTTAATCTCAGATATTACCATAGTTAGGATGCAAATACAGAAAAAATCCGGTGGCTCTCAAAATTTTATCAAAAAAAATCATTTTTTTTTAAATTTTCAAACTTAAATAACTCGGTTATTTTGGACTTATCTGAAAAATAGTAAAGAGAAAATATGTTTCTTTTGTCGAGATCTAACAGCCCTGAAAATATTTGCACTTATTTAAAACTCACACTGTATATATTATAATATAATCTCATTTTATACATTTATAAATACTAACTTGAAAACGAATATCAAATATTATTATATATAAGTATTATAAATAATAATATTAAATATTATTATATATAAGTATTAAAGTTTCCGCAGAATGGCATCGTTAAATGAAACCGAACACATCGAAATTAATTAAATTGCATATTGTTTAAGTGATATTTTCAAAAGTCAATAACTCGGAAACGGTTGGTTTGAGGTACATTTTGTGATATCGATTTTTGCTTAGAATTGAAGGAAGAATTGAAATATGCAATAATATACATATTAAAAAATTCCATTAAAAAAATAAACTTTGATGTGCAACGACTTGTATATATCCGACCCTGTATACTTAAATTTATTACTCCCTAATAGACATTTAAAAACCCTATAACTTTTTTGCGGTACCTCGTATAATTTACCTAATAATCGACCGTTCCCATACATTTCAGCGACCCTGTATATCTTTTATCTGAATTTAAATTCTAATTAAAGTCAGCAATTTACATATTTGTAAATCAAACTCAGGAAAATAAGTAAACTAAGATAGAGATTCTAAAATATTTGTTAATATAAGGGTAATATTTTAATAGTTTCTCTATATTTACTTATCTCTTTGAGGAATATTACATTAAACTTACATACGCGTTACATTTATTAAAATAATCTATTTTTGAATCTGATATAAGGTTAAGTCCATCTGGAGGGTGCCAAAACGATATGTTACCTGGGATGTCCAAAATTCTAACTGGCCATATTTATACTAGTGCAACTAATGATGGAATTTATTCAGGACAACCTATACGACCGTTTGCTACAAGACCAAGTGAGTAAAACATACATGTAATTAATAAATTTCTACTCAATTGAGACTAAATTAATGCATACACAATGGTAATGTGTATCAATTAATTGATCTTATAAAAATTGTCGCAATTTAATCACCGAATTAAACGAAATTGTAAAAATTAATAATTTTAAGATTATTTTTTTAAATTTAGATATTGTTACGTACTCGTACCATAGTATAAGGAAACTAGTAGCTTTACTCTTTGTCAAATCCTTTGTTCTTTTTCTGCCACTTTATATGACCTTGTTCTCGCCTCCCATGATCACTGTCGTAGTTGTATAGTCGTGGTCTATAACTAGGCAAACTATAGTCGTGGCACTCGCCATAGTTTCACACAGATGTATTTAGGAAAATATTTAATTAGTTCACAATAAAATAAAATAAAAAAAATTGATCATCGAGTAAAAATTTGCTTGAAAACAGAATATTTTGACATTTCGTGTAAGTAACATTCTATTGTATCTGAAAATCTTCTGATGGTAAGAAATGCTGAAAAAATATATAATGACATATTTTTTTATTATTATCTATTTCCGAGATTTTCTACAACTTGATCTCTGTTGTTACCGAGTCCCGAAGGTACCGAAAGAACTGGGAATTAACAATTTCGAGTCCGATTCTGAACCCTACTTACCATATTTTTAAGCAATTATGTTTTTTAACTAAAAACTAAAAAAAATTCCAGATTGTTTTCAAAAAAAAATTGCGCAGAAAAATCCTCATATTTCTAGGGCCAAAATAGACTACCCCTAAAAATATTTGCACTTATTTAAGACTCACCCTGTGTAGGGTGATTCACGGGTATGGTACGTTATAGCGTTTCCGCAACCGGAGCTGTTTTGCGAAACCGGTAATTTCGGTACCATGCCTCTAAGGACCCGGGATTTCCAGTTTTTTTTCGGTAATAGCAAATTTTTGTTTAATGATATGGTGCAGTTCGTAATACAGCAAGCAAAGGATGGTTGTCAAAAGTAAAATCGATAAAAAATTGAGGTTTAAATGAAAATAATATCAAATTATTAAGTAGTAATCAGTCATGAGAACATTAACCTGAACACAAACATGATCACAAATGAAGAAAAGAAATGAAAAAAACATAGGTAACTTAAAATTTACACCAAACATGAACCAACTTAACTAAATTTGAAAACAAGCCTTACATTTTGAATTAAAAATGCAAATGCCTATAAAAACATAACATAAAATATAACTAATACATTGAGCAACATTATACTAAACTACATGATAAAAATGGCCACTTCGCTGGGCATAAAAACTTGGAACGATTTATTTCTTTATACATCTTGCAATGTTGGTATATATTAAATACAAAAATTAAACGATTAAATTATTCCGGTTGGACACGTGAATTATTAAGTTGCTCATATTTTTACATAAAAAAACATTACTATAGAAAGCAGATATTTCTACAGAATTGTTTTCATACAGGATGTGGGAATAAAATTTCCAGATCTGAAATAAGCTTCTTCTAAACATCAAGTACGTTTGGTGATTATAATTACCATTTTTAAACTTTAGTAATTGCTAATAAACATTATAGGAACTTCAGAAGCAAGATCAATAAGAGATCGCTTCTTATTTAGAAGAGTTTGATTTTGATCGCTAGAAAGTATCAGTGGACTTTCGCATGTAACAAAAAATATTTTTGTTATCATTTTTTGCCAATCCGTCTCTGTGCTGGGAACGCAACGCTCGAAACTCGCAGGTCGACGGATGGCACTCAACTGAAACGCTCTGCAATCTGCTGATATTCGACAGATTGTAAAAACAGGGCAGAAAATATTTGCAAGAGTGCAACTACTCTTTTCCTTCTACTATGCTCGTACTATGACATCGATATTATATTTTATTACAGTGATATTACCGTATATGATCGAATAAAAAAGGCGTCAACGATGGCTATGAAATGAAGATCGCTGTCATTTTATATGTAAAATTATATGGGAAATGTCAGCTTTCGTCATTTCCAAGCCAACTGGACGCCGTTTTTTTTTCGATCATACGGTAGATGTTTCAAGAAACGCTATACGAGCAACCTAGCGATATTTACCCATAAACCCTTTTTACGTAAATAATAACGAAATACGGCGGAAAGCGAATGACGTAAATAATGGCGGAAATATATATTTTTTTACTCAGTAGTTTTATACAAGTACGGCCTGAAAGTTGTTTCGCATCAATCTAGTTGAAAATATGTAGGTAGCGCCTTCTAATATTAGGGGTCATATTGCCCTACTAGTAGGGGTCATATTGATATCAAAATTAAATTTCTCATGTCTAAAAACTCCCAGACACCAATTTTCATCTAAATATCGACGTTAGTTCAGAAATTATTTGGGTAAAATCAAAATAAAAATGAAATTTCTACATCCTGTATCTCCGAAACTAAGCATTTTAAGATATAATATACGAACTTTTTTACATATTTTTATATGCAGGATATGCTGCCCGAAGTGTCCCGTATTACCTAAAAATCATAATTTTTCTCAACCTGATTGTCATGTCTTTGTAACATTGATACCATTTTTCTATAAATATTTTTTATGCAAATTAATTAATGTAATAACATTTTTAAATTATTTTGATTTAAACACTATATAAAAAATAAAAACTATTTATGGTTAAGATATTAAAACATTATATCTAAATTAATTATTTTGCTTTAATTTAATCATATTGCAAATGAATAAAAAGCAATGTTATTTATACCGTATGATCGAGAAAAAACGGCATCCAGTTGGCTGGGAAATGAAGATCGCTGTCATTTTATATGTAAATTTATATGGAAAATGTCATCGATCGTCAGTTCCCAGCCAACTGGACGCCATTTTTTCTCGATCATACGGTACCTATAGTTCATATCAAATAAACTTTTATTCACGTGTTTAAGCTTGACCGGCACAGCGTTGCCAAATTTTACATATTTTCTTTTAATCAAAATATTTTAGGAATCAAAAATGAATTAATTATAATTCCGTTCAAAATATTCTAATAAAGTTGCGATTAGGAGTTTTTACGGTTATTGAGCTATCTTATACACTTCACACTAAAAGAGGTTCTAAAAAGAACAATGTTCGACAGTACATGCATATTATTTCGTATATTTTTCATTTTATTGATTTTATGGAATGCACTGTTCATTAAAATGTTGTATCCTATGTTATAGGGCTTGTTTCTCTCTACAATTTTCTGTCTCACAATGTACCGTTTGTGTCCAGGAAGAGTTCATTAAAATGTTCATATTATTTCGTATATTTTTCATTTTATTGATTTTATGGAAAGCACTGTTCATTAAAATGTTGTATCCTATGTTATAGGGCTTGTTTCTCTCTACAATTTTCTGTCTCACAATGTACTGTTTGTGTCCAGGAAGAGTTCATAGTTTCATAGTTGTCGATTTTCGAAAGAAATCAGTACATACATATTATTTCGTATATTTTTCATTTTATTGATTTTATGGAAAGCACTGTTCATTAAAATGTTGTATCCTATGTTATAGGGCTTGTTTCTCTCTACAATTTTCTGTCTCACAATGTACCGTTTGTGTCCAGGAAGAGTTCATAGTTTCATAGTTGTCGATTTTCGAAAGAAATCAGTACATGCATATTATTTCGTATATTTTTCATTTTATTGATTTTATAGAAAGCACTGTTCATTAAAATGTTGTATCCTATGTTATAGGGCTTGTTTCTCTCTACAATTTCCGGTCTCACAATGTACCATTTGTGTCCAGGAAGAGTTCATAGTTTCATAGTTGTCGATTTTCGAAAGAAATCAGTACATGCATATTATTTCGTATATTTTTCATTTTATTGATTTTATGGAAAGCACTGTTCATTAAAATGTTGTATCCTATGTTATAGGGCTTGTTTCTCTCTACAATTTTTTGTCTCACAATGTACCGTTTGTGTCCAGGATGAGTTCATAGTTTCATAGTTGTCGATTTTCGAAAGAAATCAGTACATGCATATTATTTCGTATATTTTTCATTTTATTGATTTTATGGAAAGCACTGTTCATTAAAATGTTGTATCCTATGTTATAGGGCTTGTTTCTCTCTACAATTTTCTATCTCACAATGTACCGTTTGTGTCCAGGATGAGTTCATAGTTTCATAGTTGTCGATTTTCGAAAGAAATCAGTACATGCATATATTATTTCGTATATTTTTCATTTTATTGATTTTATGGAAAGCACTGTTCATTAAAATGTTGTATCCTATGTTATAGGGCTTGTGTCTCTCTACAATTTTCTGTCTCACAATGTACCCTTTGTGTCCAGGATAAGATCATAGTTTCATAGTTGTCGATTTTCGAAAGAAATCAGTACAGGCATATTATTTCGTATATTTTTCATTTTATTGATTTTATGGAAAGCACTGTTTATTAAAATGTTGTATCCTATGTTATAGGGCTTGTTTCTCTCTACAATTTTCGGTCTCACAATGTACCGTTTGTGTCCAGGAAGAGTTCATAGTTTCATAGTTGTCGATTTTCGAAAGAAATCATTACATGCAGGGCCTATTTTACCATAAGGCCCATCAGGCCCGGGCCTTGGGCCCGGTTGTCTGCGGGGCCCGTTAAAGGTTGTAAAATATTCATAATTTTTGAATTTTATCGAAAGAGGGCCCGAATTTTTGCTTGGGCTTTAGGGCCCGACCAGATGAAAAATAGGCCCTGGTTCGACTGTAAGGTCAACTGCAAGCTAGTAAAAATGTTTAAGCTTAAAGTATCACAACATAATTCATTTAAACCAAAAACTCGTAATACGAAACTAAAATGTCTAAACAAATGACAATGTGAGGAAATAAATAAATAAATGTGGCAACTTGACAATTTTTGTAGCAGAGCTACCACCTGAATCCCCAGTGGAAAATTAAAATTTCAGTTAGTCAGCCCGGCGCCGAATATCTACGGTTGGCAACAATGAATTTAAAAATCGTTCTTGATTGCATA